GAAGGCAAGATTAAGCAATTGGTTTTAGTCTTTTCATGGCATTTATTTAGGAAAAATATAGACTAAAACCAGATTCATCGCTTAAACTCCTCTTTATTTTACTGGATCATACGTTGTCACATGCTGATATCCCATAGTGCAACATACAGATGTTACTGTTTGTTTATTTGTAGAATGGTAATTGCTGATCACCTAATGATCTGTGCAGAAACCTCCAGACCTGCAAGCACCGGTGGTTCTCTTTCCATCACTAAATCTAACATCAAAATGTATGAAGTCATGGTTCCGTAAGGAGCCTGGGATAAAAGTATCAGTGTAATAGCATGTGCTCTGTGGGGAATCCTTCATTAGCTGTAGACCCACCAGCTGACATGGAACAGGCAGTATTATTCTGCCCGAGAAGGCTGGATGGATGAGGGGATATCATGATTTATTTACACACAAGTCACACTGGGGCCTGCCACACAAGTCTACGTGTCCTGAATTTACACAGTGACGATTAGTGGATACACTCCCTCTTATGTAGAGATCTGTAATCCTTTAGTGAGTATTAGTATCAGTGTTGGGCAAGATACCTGCAAAGTATACTGAGCTATGCTAGCAGTTACTGTACAGAGATTACATTCAGACTCCACTGAGTTTGTCTCCTCAGAAATACTCGTTCAGACGTAACCTGTGTGGATGCTTCCGCTCCGCTTGATCAGTAGAAGAGCTTTGCTACTGACAGCTATTTGTTGTGACTCCGCTTCCCAACACTGCTTTGTATTGCAGTTGTAATGTGTACTATTGTGAGATATTCTGTGTTTTTGTCTTTAGTATGAGTCAAGCTCCAATGTGCATGTCCCATAATGCAACTCGATAACATCTTTTCAACTTGGTGAACATACTTGTTGTTCATACGTCACACCTCCAGTTAGCAGCAAAGGCTTTTCTATTCAAAATATGTTGTCTCATTTAACCCTGTGAGTGGGTTCTGGATGTTTTTTCTTTAGCTAGAGGTAGAGAGAACTCAGAAATGCTCATTTATGCAGTAGGACACAGTTAAAAAGACATCAATTCTAACCGTAGAAAGAGCTTTCACCATGCTGATTGGACGACAACATGCTGACAGCTTGCTCGTCTGTATACTGTTGCCATGCTGCATTTATGTTACTGCTGATGAGCGTTTAATTGAGTGATATTGAAGTCTTTCTTGCTGTCTCCTACCTGCTCTGTGTAAACACCTGCAGCCTGCAGTTCACCAACGTTGTCACATTTTTGTTGTAGCTGAGTTAAACATGGCTCCTCCATTGTGATAAGAAGCACAGATTATTATTATTTTTTTGCTTCTTACGGGATCCGGTTCGGGCAATTGCTTTGTTTTTTGATGATTTTTTATGTCAGGCTTATATAATAGGATGATTTTGAAGAAATATCACCATTTGAAGCTTACTTTTGGTAATTTTTCTTGACGATACGTTACACATTACATTCGTGGACTGTCTGAACGTTGAAGATCTGATGATTGTGCCGTGATAAATGGTGTAATTATGGATTTCAAACCCACCGGTGGGTTTTGGGTTTCAGCTGAAAGACTAAATGCACTACTGGCACTTCAACTAATATTTCCAAAAAAGGATTAAGAGAAGAAGAAAAATGTTTCATACAAATGATTGCAGTATAAAGTTCTCCACACAGTCAGACAAGAAACTGGCTCAACCGTAACTCAAAATCAAGTCAATTTGGCACTTGTATTTATAGATACATTATACATTTATTTATGCACTCACTTAGCCTTCAGATAGATGTTCTTTTAAGTAGAATAAGCCTTGTACTGAGCTCTTAAATCTTTTGTGAATAAGGGCCTTGTGATCTTTCTATTTAGAGAACCTTCTGATCATCTGGATGACTAAGTGGTAGCAACAGAAAAACTACAAAGACGTGTCAATATTAATATTGCCTTTTAAAATATATCACAGCTACACGCTTGGTATGTGTGACTCATTTCTTTCTGTGATGAAAGCAAGTTGCAGAATACAAATGTATCAGGTATAGAGATATATAAATATATCCCTAAAAATTCTGCCAACCTTTGGACATAATTTATCCTCTTTCATCTTTTCAAAAGCCTTTTGCAAACTTTTCTGCATTACAAGTATTTGGACTGGCTTTGGTGCTGCTACCGTCATAAGGACATAATCCTCTTTTACCCAATAAAATAGCAATGTCTGAACTTTATTTAAAGAAAGTCATTTTTACAAAATGCATGAAGTAAAAAAAAAAAAACATCTCCTCGAATTTGCCCTTGACTTTAAACACAGTGCTGCTCTGATTGAGGGTTTTGTCAAACTGTATCACTTGTGTCAAATCTGAGATACCCCTCGACATGCTGACTGTAATTAGTTCCAAGATTAATCCGCGGAAGCTTGGTCAAATGTGGCCTTCTCCCACAGTGCTCTCGAAATAAAGGCTAGCTACGGATAATCAAATAATAGGTGAATATCAATGGAAGGACCAAATCACTTTAGTCCCCAGCTCCCCTATGCAATTATTTCCTATTCACATTAATTATTGCTAACAGATGACACTAATGACTTTGAGAGGAAGCTGTCCATGACAACCTTGCGAACGATCAATGCTATTTTAAACGGGGTCACAACACTTGACACCTTTGGGTCCCTCTGATTGGAAATGGCACCGATGCACACAGCATCTGTGGCGTGCCAGTGAGTACAGTGCCAGAGGGCCGAGTGACAGACTTGGCTTTCTACGCAAGTCCTTCCACAAATATGTGGACCTGTGAACCATGAAATGAAAACATCAAACAGTGGTCTCCAGCAATAAAGAAACCATCTAAAGCACACATTTAATTATATTTAATGTCTTTCACTTAATTAAAATGATTAAAAATCAACATCAAATATGACCCAATTATCCGAGTCCATCTTTTACTCCGTGTAATAATCAGAATAAGAGGAAGATGTTTTAATTTGTGTAAGAAATAAGCTCTGCGTCAAGCAGCGCTATTTACGACGCAAATTTCAAACAGAGAAACACAGTCAAGGAGCTCCGAACTACGTTTTGGCTTGAGATTATTGAGCGATTTATAAACAAGCTTTAACTCTTATAGTGTTTTAACTTGCACGTGAAACAGCAAGTGTGCAGTTTGTAGAGATTGGTTGTCTAACCTGCGCTTCTGTTTTGTTGACAAGGTGCGGAACTGGAGACAGCATTCATGACGTATTTTTAAAAATTGATTATTTATTAGTGAAACTAAATAATGTAGCAGCAAATAAATGTATGAGAGATTACATCGTTTCTGCCTTGAGATAGTTTTGCAAACCTTTTCAGGCTCATAACAATGTTAGGGTTTTAAATCCACTTATTCTGATATTTCAAGTATAGAAATGTTAAGCCAGTTCTCCAAATTCCACTGACAACTTGTGCACGGAAAATACTGAACTCTTGGTGTTGATTCTTTACTTGTTTTGGTTTTACCAGTTCCTCCTCCACATTCTGGTCAGTGGAGTAATCAGCGTCATTACCGAGCCACACACTGAAAAAATGATTTGTTGGATTTACTTAAAACAGCTATGTCAACTTTTTCCACGAAACTGAGTTATGTTGGAATTAATTTAACAGTATAATTAATACGGCAAAAACTAATTTGGACTAGGTTTTTATCACCAACACAAACATGTTAATTAAGTTTAGTATAGGTGCCTTTAATTAATTCAACAACTCACAAAGTTCACTTTTTTCAGTGTATGGTTCAACGTTTACCTCAAATGATCCCTTCAGAATTAAGCACCATTTACGGCAGCAAACCATTAAAAAAAATGGTTGTGTCAAAATCTCAAAGGATCTAGCTGTATCTTTAAAGATAAAAAGCACTTTACTGTCTATCAGGAAACCAATCATTCAAGAAGCTACTGCTTCAGATATAGAGCTGGGAGTCTTCTCCAGAATATCTGTCTGATTAAATATTCAGTAAATGCTCTGTAAAGGCTTTTCGGAATTTCCTTCCAAAGCAGCGTGTCTGTATCACTTCATCTTTAATACAAACGTTTTGCATTAGCTACAAACATTTTATACAAAGTGTTTATCAAAAGTCTGTTTTTTCCTGCTATCAGACATCATGGTTTCACGGCATTATCAGAACTCACATATTAGAACATGTAAATAAAGGACTCTACAGTTAATGATGATATCAGGAATGATTTGAGTCAAAAAAAAAAAAAAAAAAAGACTCTACAGTTAATGATGATATCAGGAATGATTTGAGTCAAAAAAAAAACAACACTATGTTGATTTTGGTTCATTCGGTAGTTCTTGTGACCGACACAAGAGCGTCATCACCTAACGCTCATTATTCATTGCGCAGTTCCATTTGAGATATAAATGAACAGCGGAGACACTGAGAGGCTCCCAGCTCAGTTAATAGCCTCCCTTCATGTCAGAACAGAGGCATTGTTTTCAAATGTCTCACTTGCCAGCTCCCCCAGCTCATGGTGTACCTGCAAGACCAGACAAAGATGAAAACACGCTGCCTTTTAAAACAGGAGCCATCTAACTGCTGGAGTGGAAAATGTCATTCCACTCCTCAATTAGCCTTTGGATGGAAAGAGACAGCTATGTATCCAGCATATCGATTCTCCGAGACCTGTGACAGAGACAAATGGAGAGCCGTTGGGCATTCTCATAGGCTGTGTATATAATTCAGACTGCAGAGAGAATCCGTTGAATATAATGTCAGGAATTAGGTGGATGAACAAACGTTGAGTTCACCGGTGTCACTGTGAGCAGTAATTACAACATCTGTCAGTGTAAAATAAATTAATTGTACAATATGCAAATATGTCTCCTCTTGTCAGTTCTGTGCCGGTGACGACTTCTAATGACATGTTTTGTCATTTAGTGCAATGATTTCATGATGATTGTAGGTTTTTACTAATGCATTCATCTTTTTGTAGTATTTCCTTAATTCCTGTTGATTGATGGCTTGTTTTATTCTTTTCCAGGAGGTCCAAAGAAATGGAAAAGCAGGTATTCCTCCAGGAAGATGGCCCAGCTTACTGAGCCTCACATGCCCACGCAGCAGTGGTAGCGGCAGTGGCAGTGAGCTGTCACTATCCAGTGCTTGTAGCGAATACTCCAGTGGCTCCCACACCTGGGCAGAGGGACGGGGATTCTCCAAGCAGGTAGGTGGCATTCGCTTTTCACGCTTCCTCTTTTTGTTTGTCTTATAAGGAAGTTGTCAAAGCAAAGTATACGGGCACTTTCATTAATCGTAAATATCTCTCGTAATGCAGTGTGCCACAAGCCGGGACAAAAGGATGAGTACGGGTTCAGTATCCAGCAATCATTCAGCACCGTCTGAGCAAACAGAGCTGGGATGGAAGGAAGGCCACATTTTGAAAGGCCTGAAGCGTCTTCAAATGTGCAACTCCAAAGAGGCGTCCTCTCTTGCGTCTGTACCACATTGCAAAGATTGTATGACCTCAAATGAGGGCATATATTCTCTATATTCTCTGGGTGTAAAGTGTGGCCAGCAGGGGGCTACAGCCAAGCAAGTAGCTCTTGCAAGTAAACCCTTCAAGGCTGAAGCAGGGATTGCCACCCTCGACTCAGATGATGCAGATGATGACTCGCCTAAATTACCAAACAGGGAATCCAGTGACAAGCCAACGAAAGAACTTCTGTTCATGGACAAACTCTCCAATGTCTCTGGGGATGCTGACAAAAATGTTCAAGAAGACCCTGTGAAACTGTCAGGGAATTCTGGTCTTTTCCCCTCACCTGTCACAGACAACTTCTTGTTTTTGGAGGGCCCCACAGTAAAACCTGGTGTGAGCCCAACTGATAGCCTTACACATCTAGAGGACATAAACAAGGACTCACTAGAAAAACACAAAGGCATAAAGTTCAGTGACAGAAACAATAACCAGGAAAGGTCCACTGACCGCAAATCCAGACTTGATTATGTCAAAAGACAACAGGGTAGACTTCCCATCAAGCAAGTGGAAGCAGGGACAAGTGACATGAGCTCATCTCTTCAGAATACTGCAACAAGAGCTCTCAGTTGTGTGAATGAAGCCAGGCAGCGCAGCTCTTCAATGGAGGTTCCTCATTGCAGAGACCAGGCCATTCAAACTGGAGGGGAAGGTCAGGAGTACACCATCTCAGATTCTCCACAGAGGAAACCGAAATCCCAGCTTTGTGACTCAGCAAGGAAAGCTTTCATTCTGCGGAGCAAGAGTGCAGATGGAGGACAAGAACAACCGAAGCATACACATTCTCCTCTACACCAAAAGCTTATCAAGGGCCACAGGTCAAAAGGGCAGTCAAACCCGAACCCTACAGGGCAAAGTGTCCCAAGTAAGAGGACAAATCCCAGCAAACCACATGGGTCAAGCAAGGGCACATTATCTAAGGCTGAGGCGGAGGAGGAAACTGAAATATCAACAAGTTCCAAGTCTCTTGAGAGCGTGCCACAGCGCTCTCCACTTGCTTCCCCTGTGAAACATTCAAAGACATTTAAGTCGACAGGGATCAATGAATCCTCAAAGAGTCCAACAAAATCGTCTTTGCCTATCACTAGAGTACAATCAAGCAGTGACTCTGTGGAAGAGAGCATCTATGACAACTTACCCTGCTCTCCACGAAAACAACGACGCCAGGACCAGCACTGTGATGCTTCCCATTCAGAACACAGGTCTCCATCCCCACCGCTACCCCCAGGTCGAAGTGCTTCTCTTCTGCTTAGACCTAGTTGTGACAGTTTAACAAAAGATCAAAAATCAGCAAGTCAGGCTCAAAGCTCTACGACTGGGAAGATAACATCAAGCACTAACAAGACGCAATCAAATCAGCTTTCTTTACAGCCTCAACAATCCAACGCCACAAAAGACTGTCAACATGCAGCCTCTCAAGTTGCTGCTGAAGGGAAATCACTGAAAGACACTCCTGCCAAAATCTACCATACCCAATCATCTAAGATACCACCTGTCCCAATTCAAGAATCACAAGCTTCAGAGTCAGCCCAGTTATCTGTAGACAGGCAGGCTGCCATATGCTATAATGAAAATGGTGCTCCTTCTATATTGCCAAGTCAGAGCATCTTGCAAAGATCCCAACAGAGCATTAGTGAGCCAAAACTTTCAGAAGTCTTGCCTCCGGCATATTCTAATGTTTACTACCATGGGATTGCCAATAATCCCCAGTCTTCCACCTCAAGAGCTGTAAAAAGGACTCTTCCCGTGAATGCTAAATCTCATGAGGCAATCGCTGGACAAGAAACAAATACTTTCCTCATTTTTGGAAGACAAAACAAAGAGGATACTGCAAGAAGTGTCCAAACCTTTCAAACTTTTACATGTGATCCGCATATGATACATGAATGTGGTGCACATGACAAAGGTCGCAGGAAGATTGAGACTCGCTGTAACTCACTAGATTCTGAGCCGTCTGTTCAGCCTGTTGCGTCAGATAGCGGTGTGATGTTAGACTGGGGATTCGACGAGGAAGGTTGGCTGTTCAAACGATCTGTGTCTGTGTCAACCAGACCTCCTCTTAAACCAGTCCTGGGCATGAATGGGGCCAAGGCTCGCAGTCAAAGCTTTGGTGCGCGTTACATGGACAGACCAAGCTTCAACAGATCTGGAAAAGTCCGCACTCAGATCAAAACACACTCAGGGAGCTCCTTGAACTCTCTCGGTGATGTCCTACCAGGAAGTATGAGTTGCTCCAGTAGCTACCACTGTCCGATGAATCGATCCCTTTTGAACAACTTCTTGATTGAAGAGGGACTGGCAGTTCCCTCCCATTTGGGATCCTCAAGTGAAAGACTTCAAAGTCTTAAACTCCAGAGAGAGCAAGCCAGACGCCTTCAGATTGAGCAGCAGTTTTCAAGCGCTTTCGGGGAGCCAGTTTCTGAAGAACCAGAGAGACAAAGTACTATAACTACAATTGAAGAAAAAGTGATGCTTGGCATAGAGGAGAACCTGCATAAGTCTCAGGAACAGGAGAGAAGCGTTGAAGTGAAGCAAAAATCTGGCTCGAGTTTAGCAAATTGGTTTGGTTTTCGGAAGAGTAAGCTTCCTGCCCCGAGCAGCAAGAAGACCGATCCGCCAAAAGTAAAGGAAGACAAGAGGGAGCAAAAGATTACATCACTGCTGAGTGGAAAGCAAACCAAGTCTGACAAAAAGAGAGACAGAAGAAAAAGTGATGGAAAAGATAGGTAAGAAATTCAATAAATCAGTAATGAATGCCATCTTTAACTCTGTTGCGCTTAACTTAATAACTGTAGTTTTGAGGTCTTTACTGCCATTCACAGCTCCGGCTTCAAACAGTGGATTTATAGAGTTTTCCGGTCTCAGATGACATGGTTAATTTTTTATTAAATTGTCTCAGACACATTTATCAGTCTCCTTAGCCCTGAGACCTGTGCAGACACATTTTGCACAGAGGATCACAGCCAGGTTTCAATAGATAGGAGGGTAATTTATCAGCCGAATCACCCTGGGCATTTTGAGTCAATATCAGAGGATCTCAGTATGTAGCGCCTTCTTGACAAACTGTTTTCTTTTAGCTCTGTGGGGAGAAGAGAGTCTCATGATGCGGTGCGGGCATGCATTTCAATGCCCTGCCCAGGAATGTCCCTGAGTGAGATACAAGGACATACTGACATCATCGGGGACCCCAAGGTAAATACACCATCAACCATCAACCAGCAGGAAGGTGTTTTATTGATATACAGTCAGTTTTACTTCTACTCATTACGTCACAAAAGCTGCACCAGGAAAACACCTTGTAAATGTGAGCATAAATGGAACGGAAACGGCAGTCAGTTGTTTTGATTTTACTGCACAGTAATGACAAAGTAATCCACCAGGAATGTGTGCTTGCATTTATGTGATTGCTGCAGAGTCTTGCTGGATGAGGTTGCAAAACATTGTGAGCTAATTCTACCAACTGTGCCTCAAACTCACACTTACACACAGTTTCATCATCTCATCTTTTATTACTAATCATTGTTTGAAGACTTTCACATTTGCTTTTGTGTCCAGAATCTTACCATAGCAGTCTAAAGTGTGCATCACACAGTTATTATGTCAAGTCTTTAAAACTACCCAGAAGCTAATAAGAGTGTCTTTTATACCAGTCAGTTAAACTACAGGTAGACTGTAGTTTATTTTATCATTATTTAAAGTTCAAACCCTGTGAAATAGTCTACATACATGATCAGACACAACATAAAAACCACTTTCCAAATATTGTCCCCCTTGTGCCACCCAAACAATTATGATCCATTAGGGTATGAATACAGGGTGTCTTACATTGTCCTGGTGTGTCTGGCACTGGGATGTTGGCTTCAGTGCTGGTTGAGGCCTCCATGGCATGTTCCAAAGCACCCCACAATAATCAACTGGATTGAAATCCTGCTAGCATCAGACTATTCCAACAATGTGGCTTCTTTGTTCCTCAAGCCATTCCTCAGCAATTTTTGCAGAGCGGCGCATTGTCCTGCTGGGGAATGCCACTGCCATTAGGGGATGCCTTTCCACTGAGTGTTCTTAGTCTGCAGCAATGTTTAGGTGGGTGGTACATGTCAAAACAACATTCACATGAATGCCAGGACCCAGTATTTCGCAGCAGATCGTTGTGTTGTATTGAAATGAGCAATCTTATTCATTTGACCTGGCAACCTTCCTCCTACTTTCAAATTCTCAAGAACGTGTGGAGCATGTCTCAGTGCCACACAACATTCACAAGACAGGTTGTTAACGACGTCAGTGGAGAGAACATAGGAGGAAAATAAGCTTAGAGGCCAAACATTCATGTATTAGTCACATTTTGATTCTCATTGTGAAGGTCAGGTGTTTAGTGCCACAAGGATTAGTACCTACAGTATGATAAGGCAAGAACCAAACAATTTGCACATGAATAGGATGAAGGAATATTATGTTAACTTCTTTTTTGTCCTTTCCAAAAAAAATACAAAGATGCAGATGATGAACCGAAGAGCTGATAGTGAAAACGGATCCACAGTGAAGAGCCCCACTCAAGACGCCGTAATAGGTCAGAGTTTTTCTATTTCTGTTGTGTCACAGTCAAATAGTAATGGACCCCTCTTAAACATGGTGCCTGTAACACTTAAATAAGCTATCGTAGTAGCAATGACAGCTGTGTCCTTGTAAGCATGATAGCATTAAGGTTTTATCTGTGCTTGCCATTTTGCAGTTTGCAGACAGAAGTGAAGACCAAATATGAAAGATATGTGTAAGTCCTGAACGTGATGAATGTGCTATGCGCAGTCGACGGACATGCAAAGTGACAAATATTGTCAGTCTTTGTTTTTCTCCACCATATTTATGTTCACTTTTATTTGTTCTGCCTCTGCATTTCTTTATTGTTTCTGGTGGCAGTTTGAAATGGAGCAAATAGGAACCATTTCACCACAGTCTTTAATGTGGATATTGTATGCGGGCTTGACCACTCATCTTCACAGATTCATGCACTGAAAATTTGCATGCACAGGCTCATCCAAAATTGGATAAACCTGTTCACCCATCTGGGGACCTACGCTTCCTCCTGACCGTGTTTAGTAGAAGTAGTGAACTCATAAATGACTTTAGTTGTCTTTCTGTGGCCAACACTATGTCTGGACAGCTCTCTTCTTACAAACACAGTGTAAAGATGGAGTGAAGATGGAGTTGTGCTCTTCAGAGGGCCTAAAAATTCAACCCTAGCGGCACACAGTTGGACAAACAATGCTGCTATTGCTGCTTGACTGATAGCTTTTCTTAAATATTTCATATTAAATATAGCATTTTTTCCAACTGGCATTGTTCTGCGATGGCAATGTTGGCTGGTTCGTCAATTGAGCACGCCTTGACTGAAATATCTGACGAATTATTGTGGAGCTTGCCATTAATTTGTTGTACAGCTGTTCATGGTGCACAGGCGATGACTCCTACTGACTTTGGTGATCCCCAGACTTTACCTTGAGCGCCACCAGAAGATCACTTTCCACTGCTGTTGCTTGTCGTCCTCTCTTAACCAGTCAGCATTTGTGTTTTCCGACTTTTTTTCCTCCCCTGAAAACATTCCTGAAAGAGGTTGAACATGGAGAGTTCCTGGCTCTGGCCAATAATAATAATGCCTAGACGATCTATTGAAATGATTTTGGAAAGTAGAAGACTTTTCCAGCAGGTTATCTTTTTTGTTTTTTTTTAATTTAAAAACAGCTATTTGACAGATCGCCATGAAACATTTATATAGCCACTATAATAAATTGTGCTGACTTTGATTCTTTGAATTTTCACTCACCAACAGATCAAAATTTAAAGTTTTACAGAAATGTGTTTTTAAACTTAATACTTACACAGCTACATAACCATCAGCTTTAGTTGTACTCAGCATAGTTAATGTCTACCTGATACCTGCTGAAGATATAGAAGCCTATTGTGCAAGTACAGCCATCCCAGATGAAGAAATACTTGTCAATGTCTTTTCTTGATTGCGTCTTTGCTGTCAGTTGTCAAATAAAGGTTGCAAAGAAAACCATAAAAAAAACAATTTTAAACATTGTTGCCAAATACAGATAGTACTTCTTGAGCACTGTTGCTCATCAGGTGTGTTCAGATCAGAATTGAGTGTCCAGTTCTGATTATAAAATGAATTTATGCTTCGTTTCCACCTGCCTGTTTTGGATTTTGTCTAAATTTTTGGCCCAGAAAGTGTTGAGAATATGCCAGAACACTGTAGCTCCACTAGCTTTGGTCTGTTGGGCTTCTCACTCAGTGGCATTTTGGTGCAGATATAATCTCTCGCTTCCACCAAGCCAGACACATTAGCATTTTTAAGCACCATCTAAATTCTGGCTTGACACTTGCTATTGAGCTGAAACCAGAGGTGGCAATCTGATTTTTAAAAAAGAGAGCGAGAGGAAGACAGAAACAGAGAGTGGAAAGGTGAAAGTGGACGAGAAATAAAACTTTACTTGGTTGGTACTTACTTCATAGTGGTCACTTCCTAAATTAAAAACAGCCGCTTATTAAACTTTTCACATCGCCCAGGTGGAGGAGTGGTGACAGACCCTGCTGAAATTTCAGTGGCCAGAGTGACACCATCGGCAAGCCGCTGCAAATATCAAGCATGTTTGATACGGACGGACGCCTGCCCTCGGGGGTTAATCACCTCATTAAAATTTCAGCACTGCACCAGCTAAGCACGATCATTCAGGCCACTACTGAGTGAATTAACTTTGCCTTCAGCTGTGAGCTGAATTATACTATCCAGGCTTGGCACAAACTTGTTGGGCCTGATGTAGAGTTGCAGTTTTCAACTTAATGCATAAAAAGACAAACAAAAACGTGCACGGCGCAAACAAAACTAAAAACAGGTTGGCAGGTCTGCGCAGTACTTTTCTGGCATTTTAAGTCAGCAGTCTTAACTGTTGTCTGATTAGTTATGTCTCGTTAAATTAAATGTCTTATCGTAAAGTTAAACTAAAACAGAGCTCCATGTTTTTTTTAACTTTTACAAGACACTCTCCTGTTTAACTTACACGTCTTGTGCGCTGCTTTGAGAGGAAAAACTGTTAGAAAGCTAAAAGAAAGTTAAACCTGCAGTGTGAAATGTTTGTCTCCACCCTCTGGCAGTGGCAGTAATTACACAAACTAGTCGCCGTCAGTCACTTTATTTTTTAATCCTGTTTCTTAATGCTGAATGTAATTTGCTGGTGTCTTGACAGGCTTAATCAGTGTCACGTGAGCTCATTTTGAAAGGGCTGGAATGTAGAAAAGCATTGATTTAGATGTAAAAGTCCTGCACTCTGTTGCCTATATCCAATCAAATAATGACACCACTGCAAGCTGCTGGTTTTTTCTTTTATTCTCGTAGAGCACTGACAGCAGCTTCAGTGTCTTTTAAGGCTGAGTAATTCATTGATTTCAAATTAAAATTGCAATTTGAAACAATACAATTAGCAAGTCGCAGTTGAGGATACGCAAGATGTGGCTATTAAATAAATTGAAATAACGCCGTAATTCAGCTTTATTTAACTGGAGAAAACTGACACTTTTAGGGGTTGTGCGTGCCCATCGATTAATGTACACTGTGTGGTTCAGGCATGACCTCTTTATTTATTACAGCTCATACTGGGCTTTAAACTGCCGTGTCAGTGATTATACCAGCTAACGGTGTGACAGTCGCACATCTGATGGCGTCTCATGTGATAACGGTCCATCACATGTTTTAAATACAGCAAATATTGAACTGGAGCCTGAAATAAAATAATTCTGTCGCAAATTAAAGCGCAATATCGGTCGGAAAAATCACCATTAGACTTTCTTCCCGTAAACTTTCAGCCGTAGTGTCTATGCAAGTCTACACAGCGTCGTGTTTTCGAGCACAGAGTTGTAGGTCACCTGCATTTTGGCAGCCCAGCAAACAATCAGTGCAGTTACGCCTAAAGCTGGAGAAAATAGATTTGAGGGGATTTTAGTGATAATGCTAAGAATTAATTATTCAGAATGGGGTGATGTTTGTGATTTCAGACGGACTGATGTGTTTTCTCATCACTGAACACTGACGACAGCTTCACTGGAGAGATATTCTCCCCTCCAGGCTTTGTTTGTGCATTTTTTTTTACTGAGCTGCAGGGATATTTTTCTTGGTGTCTGGCTAATATGTAGAAACATGTCTCTGACTTGGTCACCTTTGTACTCGCGGCTGACAAGTAAGATTGTCTCCTTTGTTTTCAAATGCAAGCTGAGATTCACGAACGAGGTGCCCTTTGAGCTCATCGCAGCGTTGTGACCTATGAAGACGTGAGCGTGGATTTGTTAAATTTATGCCCTTAATTAAATCCTGTCTTGTTAAAGACAACCAACTACGCAACAAGTCTGTCCTATTATTCTCTCTCATACGCGATGCCGCTTTAAATGCACACATCAGACGTTTACTGCTGCAGTGTTTTCTTGCGACGTCAAGCTGTTATTGACTGAGCTTGGCACAACACGGCGCGCGTGTGAGGAGGACAACAACCTCACCGTCCATGTTACGGGCTCGTTGAGACCAATCACTTTCTCCTCCTCTGTGATTCTGTCTTTCCAGGGAGGACTGTGTCGCAGCACCTCTCGTTAAAGTCCAACTTAGGACCAAACTAATCAATAATATATCTGTTACGCGGCTCCACAATTCAGCCGTTTGTTTTTGTTAACCACAGGACAAATAGCGATTTGACCGAGTCAGTGTCAGATACTTAAAGGTCATTTTTAATTCTAGAACGCTGCGGGAGATAACAGTAATGGGTGTTAGTGGAGATGCCAGGCTGAGGCCATAACTCCTAATAAGACCATTACACACTAGTGCGATGCTTTCTGTGCTGAATAGAGTGAACTTTAAATATGATGCAGCTTCATATTTATCTGTAGTATTTTTTTATCTTTACCCTGTATACTATTGACTGTTTTTGGCATTGCATGACTTGTAATGTGACAATTTGAGAAGCTCAGTTAATCTAAGCACTCTAGCTTAAAATCAGGAGCAGAAAAAAGTGAATAAAATGAGCTTGTAGAACCCCAGAAGAGGGTTTCGGTGTCTCATGCGTGCATGTCTTAATTAATAAAGGGGGAGCAGCTGTTGCCTTAGTTCCAGTGTGTGGCTGCCTACAGGTTCTTCCTAAAGGCTACATAATAAAAAAGAAGAGCCTGCATGACAACAGCTTGAGGAAATCTCTTCTCATTTTGTGGAATGGATGTCTAATGTGATATATTTTTGTTTTTGGGGTTCCTGTAATGTACTGGAAGATTTGTTTTGAAACACTAATGATTCTCTGATGGAAATGTGGCTGAACATTCATGTAGATGATACAAATCCTCCATATTTAAAATGTACAAAGCAACTCTGATCTAATGCATAATTCTGGATGTCAGACTGCCAATTCCGCATCTTTTAATGTTTTAGCAACAGGACAAACACCATAACTGCGTGTGTTTGACAGTTATGCTTGCGGTATTGCAGGTAAAATACACACGTTTGCGGTGTATTTGGATTTCATGTCATGTGCCATTACGTGCATTTCATATCCACTATGTGACCAATGCATGCAAGCAGTCACACACCCATTAAACAACATCTGTAATACCAAGCAGTGGTTCAAGTGGGCTTGATTTGCGTTGGCCGAGTCATTCACTGTAGAAGCGCTGTGGTGTAATTAGCAAAGAAATCGTTACCCTGCCTATATATAATTGGATTGTACTGAAGAACCATTTTTCGACTCGGCTTTTAAGAGAAAGCCGTCGCCAAATAAGATGGTGAAAGATTGGATAGAAAACAACAGACTAGCCATCTGTTGCACGTCTGCTTTTAAATGACCAAAACACCAGGATCAGCAGCTTAGACGCTCAAACAAACAGTCGGGATAACGTGGCAGGAATAACAAGGAGACACGGGGGAAACAATTATACGATTCTGCCGAGAAGATCCATTATTATTGATTGATAAAGCTGGCCTCAGTGGCCAGTGAAGGTTATTTTACTGATCCACAGCATCAGTTATCATTTCTACAACTTAATGAGAAAGATTTTATTAAGTGACACAGTTTTCTACAGATTTTCTTTGGAGAGTCACAGTTAGCTACAGGACAGATGATGAACATCGGGCCAATCAGTGATTATGTGAATGTACAGTACGCATATTTCAAAGGTTACCGTAGCGCCACTTCAACCATCGTTGCCCTGTTGTGTCATTCCGATTGTGCTCCCTTTCTTTCCCCCTCTGTCCTGAGCCACTTCAGCTGTTCTCCTTGTGCCGCAGGCTCCGGCTGCAAGATGCGAACGTTGGACAGTGGGATCGGGACCATCCCCCTTCCTGAATCCTGTTCCTTCTTCTCCTCCATCCTGCACTTCCTCCCCAAATCCTCATCAACCCCAGAACAGTCCCTCAGTCCTCCCAGTGTCCCCGGCTCCTCCAGCGAGGATGTGTCTCCTTCCCCATTACCCCGGTGGAGAATCCCCTCCAGCTTTAAGGACAGCAGCCATGCGGGGGTGCCGAACTCCCTGTCCGACTCCTCCATGACCCATATCCAGTCAGTGCCTTTCCCCACTGTGGCCTTCCTCCAGCCCATCCAACCCCCGTCTGAACCCATTATGACCTCTGCCAGTGTGTGTGATACGCAGAGCAGGCTACCCAGACCACCACCAGGTACAGTAAAGTGACAAAAGTTCCAGCTCTGACCTTTGGAGTGCTGCAGTAAAGATGATGCTAGTTGGGTTGTTTTTTCCTCTTAGCAGTGTGGACTCAAGCAAAAACACTTGAGGGGTTCAGTGCCAATGCGGGCCAAATCACAAAAAATCCAAAGTTGAGTTTTATGTTTTTTTGATAAGTGTTTGTGGTCTACTAGTTCGTGGCAAAGTGGTCCAACCAACAGCCCACTAGTAATGTCACAATGAGACTTTGAAGTTTGGTCCATAATGGTTTTGAAAATTTAGTGGCAAACAGGACCAAGCCACAAGAATCGCTGATCATCATATCGCGGGTAGGTGGACGGGTTTACGATTCAAGATGGTGGACAGTGCGACCTCAAGTGTCGTGAAAACTCAACTCGTAGGTAAAATAAAAACTTAATTAACCACCATCAAGCATCTGTTTCTACCCCATGGTCCTCAAACGTACCTCTAGTTCCTTATGATGTAAACTCTTCCATGCTGTTTAGCAAGACAAACCTTGAATCGTTTTTTTCTCAAAAAGTGCAAAATGTGGTATGGCCCGCTTTGGCACCCAGCAAAAGGAAAGGCAAAATTAAAACCTAAATAAGTCATCACAAAGTAGCTGTTTCTATCTCTGGACAGTGTTGAAATATCTTTGGATGCATATGACTGTTTTTTGTTTTGTTGTTTTTTTTTAGCAATACAAAATTTCGACCCCTTTTTTTTCAGAAACTAGTAAATGTGGTTTGACCCACTTTGACTCAAACCCCCTCACTTACAACACTTACACTGAACCTTTGTTACTCTTCCGGGAGGTTTGCTGGTATGAGTATTCCAGAAACTAGCCTTCTTCACCTTATCTTAAAGGTTTTGTAAGAAATAAGTATCATGTTAATACGCCAAAGGTCCTTTTGTCTGGATTTGACAGGAAGTATATGTACTACTTTTCGAATTTCATTTTGCATGTAAGTAGGCTTTATGATAAAAGGGATCTTTCTGTATAGGCTATTGTAAAAAAAAAAAGAAACATACAGTCTTCATTCATGATATTTATGACTCAGTTCCTTTACAAAAGACCCATCCAGTGTTAATATTACTGGAGCAATTCATTCATTATTCTTTATCTGCTGGAAGGAGCACTCAGCACGCTCTTACACGAGGAAATGTATTTCCCGAAGACCCACTCAACGTTCATCCACGTGTTCTCCACGGCGAAATTGAGGAAGCAAAATTCAATACATAGCTTTGTATGAGAACAGCAACAATGGACTACAGAAAGCAGACGCAATCACGGTGTGTCATTACAACAACCGGAGCCTTTATCACGGCACTGATAGCTTTCATGTAGGAAGGCACACTGTCGACATGTTTTGCTCAGTATGCTAATCACACAGCGTGCGTTGAAGAAATCACTCAGGTAGTCAGGTTCTCTATTTCAGACAGACACAGATGAAAGCAGGCGGACATTTCTGGGGAGTAACTGTTGATTTTGACAGCGGAGACGACAGCTGTTGCTGGTGGATTTTATCAGGTGAAGGCGGTTCACTGACAGTGTTAATGACAGTGACTTAACTTACACACTTGGACGAGCAAACAGTTCAGATTTATGCTTTATTTGTTCTTATTTCTGAATATGTTTCAGTTCCAGAGAAAGAACTCACATGAGGAGTAGGAGTCAGGTTATATTCTCTCCTCTCTTAGAACAGTGAACGTCCTGCTGTTGGATACGTGGTGAAGGAGGGAGGAGACACAGTATCATTTAAAAAACATTTTCAGTCAGTCTCTCCACATTTATAGCGTTGCATTGCAGCACAGTAGCGCATTAAAATGTATAATAGTCCACAGCACATAATATACTAGTCTCTCAGTAAAACTGTAAAATCCCAACATTCTGGCCTTTTCTTTTCTATTACGTTCACAACACATAAAGCACATAAAGACAGCAACAAAGTCTGCAGAGTGGTGCTGGGAGGGTGGAGGTGGCGTAAATCACAGGACATTCACCCCAACTGGAGGCTGGACCTGAGTTCTTTGTGTTTTTGTGTTGTTTTTACATTTTGTTGTGTCTTCACTCACTGTTTTCAGTCAGTTTTAGTCACTTTTTTGAGTCATTTTCACTTCCTGTTTTGGTTTTCATTTGCTGTTTTTGGTCACTGTTTTCAGTTTCTGTTTTCAGTTTCTGTTTTAAGTCATTTTCAATTAGTGTGTTCATTTATTTTCTGTCTCTGTCTTAGACCACTGTTTTTAGTTATTATGTGTATATGTTATGAAAACCATTTGGGTAAACTTAGACAGCAGAACTACTTTGCTTAGTGTAGGAAAAGATAGTAATTTGGGCTAAATAGTAACCACAAAGTTTAAATTTTACAACTTTTTTGGTGAAACTAATACATTTTGCACTGTGGACCACCATAGCAATTACCCAATTTTCTGCACTTTGGGTTTTAGGAAAGAAAAGTACCACAAATTGTTAAGTAACAAATGAAAATAGATAGATAGATAGATAGATAGATAGATAGATAGATAGATAGATAGATAGATAGATAGATAGATAGATAGATAGATAGATAGATAGATTCTTGTAATTCTACGTTTGTAGGGTTAGTTTTTTGGTGAAATGCATATTTAAATGTTTGTCTCTGAGGGACATCACAAACAGTCAGTGCTGTCCTTCTGTCTGTTTAATTTAAGAATCCCAAACTGTCACTACTTATCTGAAAAACTAAACACTTGTCTTCATTGGCGAGGTGGTTGTCAGAACTATAAATGTGTCATCTTTCCAGATGTCAGCTCGGGCTCCTTTAGTGTCACTTAGATCTGCCGCCACTTTGAATTCAGAACGATAATCCGGCTCTGCTTGAAGACGTCAAATGTCAGCCTGTCGGTGTCACGCAGTTCTCCCAACTTCACGTTTGAGTCCTCTTCTTGACAGCAGAGAGAAGTCTGGTTGCACAGTAAACCTCAAAAAATGAGTTTCATTTTGTACTTTTTCCAGGTGGAATGGAACCAAAGAAGTTGACCTATATCAAATCGAAAACACGAGCCACTCCGAGCCAACAGAAAGAACAGACGAGACTTCAGCTTGCCAACTGTAAGACGCCATGGAACAGATTAATTTAAGTGACACAATTGGGAAAACTTTAGGCCAAAAACGAAGTTATGTTCTGTGCCCACTTTTTCCCCAATCAGTTTGTTTTTCCAGCTTTCATATTTTCATGGGCGAACTATGATTTAGGCTCACATACAGAAACCCTTCTTGCCAGAATAGTAAAAGCACTGCAGAAATTATTTCGAGGTCACTCTAGAAGTCAGTGACTCAGCTTACCTAAAAGCCCGACTAAATTAATTTACAAAAGTCTGCTGAGCCATTCAGACAGATGGGTTTTGAAGGGGAGTGGCAGCTTTGCACATTTTTAAATGATACTGTGTTCAAATTAACATGACAACTTGAAAACTTACAGGGATTTTTAGGAACTAAAATCAAGGTCGCAGTTTTTTCCAAATGTGAAAAAAAAACATGCTCGTACTCTTTTTGGACACTGAAGAGCAAAATTGGCAAGATGAAACTAAAGCAGACAGTTGGACTGGACAGGAGTCTTGCCAGACGTATTTAAACTTTACCTTTCAAAAGTGTCGCTGTAGCTGGCAGCTATATAGCTGGTGTGATAATTTTCACGTTGTAAAACAATTTTTAGATTTTGCCTTAAAACTACAATTTACTTTAAAAGCCATTTCCATCCCCACTGAGCAGAAAGCAAAGTTAATGGTGGCAACATACACACATGACTAGCAAGTTTCCCAAACATCATTTGCATCTTACTACAGTACATTAACGCTGGCATTTGCAACGTGTGTGTGTGTGTGTGTGTGTGTGTGTGTGTGTGTGTGTGTTGTAAGATGTGCCTGTGGGTTGAAGAAATAGCGACAGGTTATGAGCCATCGCAACACATTCAAAATGCACTTAAAAATTCATGACTTCCTTTTTATTTATACAAAAATACATTCATATAAATGTTTAATACTCTTTACAACCCGTTTCCGGTATTCTTGCGGCGACCTCATGTGTTGCATGAATCAGGCCGAGCGTCAGTTTAACTTGGACAGTTGACTTATGTGGGAAAGTGATACAGCTTCACATCAAGATGCAGCGAAGCTTGTTGCTGTAGTATCGTCTCCTGATGCAATCAAACCACAAATTGTCCTCCTATTTGCATTTAAACCACAGTTCCTCCCCATGTAATGTACCATACAGGGTGCGCAGTAATCAGTGGAAAGAGCTGCTGACCTCCTTTTGTTTACGTGCAATATTTAACATACACACAACGCATTGCTTAACCAGAGAAAGCCCAGTCTGGAAGGTAGTTCATCACCTTCAAAAGCCACGTTCTAAATATTGTAGCATGTAAAGCCATTTCTACCAGTGTGTCCTGCTTTTCTTTTTACTGATGTCTCATTTTGGATATTGTTTGTGTAGCACACTGCCGCAGGATCTCACTCTTTTCTTCCATTTCAGAGTTTCTGAAGCTGAATGAGTCGAGCTGAAGCAAGGAATCAAGCAATCGGTTGGATTTATCGCTCTGCCACACATGGAGGATCCCTAAATCCCACAGCTTGGACACTGTGTCTTTGTATCGGGATGAAACACTCAGAACTGGACAACGAGTGAGCTTGGCATTTTAGGCTTCCACCTGTGCTCAGTGTTGTGTTAAGATACTGAGAAGCCTTTCAGGTGTAGCAACAAACCTTCTGGCAGCCATTTTGGAGGTCTGCACCTCGCTGGCATCAGCCCTGAGCTGCTGATTGAATTTCGAAATCTACAATTCTGCTGTGTCCCCCGAACATACACAGACGTGGTTCATTTTTACAACCAACAGTTGTACAAAACATACATGTAACACATTTTTAAAATATTTTGACAGGCTATCATAGCACCGTAAGAGCTCCATGTAATTCAAACACATCTGATATTATCTAACACAGTGGGTCCCCTTAGTGACCAGCAACTCTATTTTCACGTAGTCATCATATCAAGCTTCACTTGTTAAGCTAATTGCAGCCAAACTACAAAATCAAAGCAGGACAGGACAGTTGTCAGTGTTTATGGTCAGAGCTGCAATCACAGAATAAATTATACTCAGATAAATAGATGTACTGTCACCTAAACAATCAGTGACTAGTGTAGTAATGTTGTTGCAATTCTAACAATAATTATAATTACATTGGGTTACAACAAAATACTTTTTTGAAGGTGTCTAGGATTTTTTTAAACTGATTTAGGACATTTTTGCAAATCTGAATCCAAAAATGACATCTACTTTTCTGTGTCAGGTCAGGTTTTTATGGCAACTTGATTTTAAAAAATTGATTTTACCACTAAATCGATTAGATTTTTTGACATTAGCGATTGATTTAATCTAGTATTTCTCATCTGAAAGTAATTTTTAGAGGAAAAATGTCATTTTCTAATCCTTTTCATAAGCTAAATGATCCAAACGTTGATGAGCGTATACATTTGTAAGGTAAATACAAGTAAATTGCATGTTTCATCAAATCAAAATTTTGACCTCATTGAGCAAAACCAATGTAATATTTGGATTCAGCGCATTGCAATTGTCCAAAATCAGCTCCAAAAATTTTTACACCAAAATGGGTGTAGACCAGTGTAATAACAACCATTATTCCAAGAGCTCTTCTTGAAATCTAAGTTACAAAGTGCTTGACAAGGACGTCAAATTAAAACGGACAAGTCATGCAGTCACAAGAGAAAAACACAATTCACTGCATCGAAACCAATACAGGTGATTTTTAACAGAACTGAAATACAGTTCAAGAAATAAAGGTCCGTTGCTAAATTTTGTTGCGTACAACTATTTTATCAGCTTAACTGCATTCATACTGAACACGTGAAGATTACAACATTTACCTATGATGACCACTCTCCTGACAACTGAAGCATAAATGTGGATTTTTTTAGGATTATGAAGCACTTAGGTTGGTTAAAACCTGAAAATAATGGTTGCAGTGGGTCAAAGTGGGCAACTTTGAGATTGAGAGTTAAACAGGAATCGACAGGGGCAACGACTTTTTGCTACAGTATGAGAATAAGACTATACTTCCTGCGTTAACGTTGCCTGTCTGACAGTGCACTTTGTAGTTTTTGAAGATGTCTATCTGGTTAATATTTACTCCAAGATGAGAGTAAACACTTGAATAATGCAAATTAGTTAAAGTATCTGTGAGTCTGTCAAACATTCGGTGGAGGCTGTTGTGAATTTTGGTTTGTCTAATGCGACCTTCATACACGGACACATCTGTAGCTCAGTGGGTTAAAGCTGCAGTAATAGATTTCACATCCAGACACAGAACAACATCTGAGTTGTCTCTGGCCAATTTGCAAATCTGCTTTGACTATTTAAGGTTTTTAGCATGCTAGCTGTTGTAGCAGCCTAAACACAGTACAATATGACAGAACCTGCTATTTGGCAACGAGCATATGGTGGCATTCTCTTAACCAAAACACAGGCAAAACAAAGAGTTCATATTACAGTCATTTAATTCCACTACTTTCATATTAGCATTATATGCACATATTGATTAATGCAGGTTTAAACGTGCACAACCAGTTCACCGCCAGACCTTCACAATGGATCCAGCTGTTGTCACGACTGGAGTTTAGCGATGCAAATGCAAGACCTTTACGGAAATCCTGCAGGACAAAGGTTATGTAGCCACATTCATTTGCATCTTCCAGCCATGCGTGAACATTTTAAGGAATGTTTATGCAAAGGTCTAATTGTGTTTAATGAGGATCTGAGCTAGAATAAATGTCAGTGATATATTTTTGAGCGACACGTCAGATGGAACCGTAAAAATCTTAAGGTGACAATTTATGAGTTCCGTCCTGAAAATATCGTATGTACAGCACTAACTACTGATTGCCATTCATGAGCTCTATACCTGACTGAGTAATGTGATTCTTCGAAGTGTGCACTAACTAGTTGGAAACTTCTTTTTTTTTTAACTGTCACAGTGTTGATATCCACTTGCATGCAACCACCCTCTGGCTTATTCTAATCACATTAATGTGTCATATAAACCTGATACCCATATGAAGAGTTTCATTACAAGAAGTAAAAAAAAAAAGGTGTGAATTCGGATGTGCACTAGTTAATATTTATGAACTATTACACATAATCTGCCTCTGCTTTTGTCGCGTTAAATAGTGCATATCTCATTTTGAAATGAAACTCTTCGAACTGCATTCTGCATTTTATACGTACTTCCACAGTTATGACATCAAGACAACGCAGTGAGTTTTGCATGTAACATTAGCTATAAAGCACCTAGTAGGCGCATAGTGGACATTTTTGTGCTAGCTCAGGGAAAATACCATTTATTGTCTCTGATAGACGCTGTGGATTTAATAAGTAAACCTCAATTTTATTATGTATGAACCAGTGAACAGAGCAGATTTCACTGGAAGGGTTTAAGTTAAAGGTACCTGGACTCGATATTTTCCTCTTGTCAGTTCTTGTCTGTACATTTAGCTGTAAGATATCTCACCATGGTTAGTCTCTCTCTCTTTCTCTATTATGTATGCTGTGTCCTTTATATTACTGTTTTTGGTGTTATGAATGCATCCCGACATATTTGACAGTTTTTAGCTGCTTTGCTATGTTCCCCGTCACACCTTTGTCCGCTTCCTGCTTTCTCATGTGTAGATATTTGCCCAAACACACATTGCCAAACACTGCTCTGAGCTAATCACACATACGGAAAGTGAATGCAACCGAATCTACATATCAGACTCGTCATGGTGACTATAGCCATATTCTTCTGAAACACTACGGACAGTTTACAGTTTCACGTGATGTACAACTATGAAGCACTGTACCATTGCACAATAACACGAGACATGTCATCTTACTGTATTTACCTCTACTTTCAATTACTCACTCGCTACATGTATGTGTTGAAGGTAACATTTGTAAAATCGCAGCAGTGTTTAATGCTTGTAGCAGCACACGTGTGTAATAAACGAGATATGTAGCGTACACAGGCGAGACGAGGTGTTCATGGATCAGGGAACAGATTGGCTGTACTGATACGGGTAGATGGAGCATGGTGTCTGTGTTTTTAAAATGGCTCACATAATAAAGAGCACCACTCTCACAAGAGTGTTGTATTTTTCTAACATTTACTCTAATACCCCATATTTGTACTCAGCACTGATGAGTGTAATTTACCATTTATTGCACATATTGTCACTCACTATTACAGTAATTCTCCTTCTAAATGTCTTTTTTTTCTTTCTCCAGAACCCAATAATAACAGTGATGTTCTTGTGTGACAGTCACCTTAGCAGTACAAACTGAGAATTGTATATTACTGATATTCTTTGTTTTATGTCAAAGAAGAAAGAAAAAAATAAACTATTTCAGTACTTATACTACATTAAGGAGGCTGCCTCGTTTGGTGTGTGTGTGTTTGACTGAATCGCTTTGGCTGTTTAAGAGAGTCACAGAGGTCCAGGTGTGATTTTATTCTAACAATGGAGACAGCATCCCACTCCGTGCTCTGCCAGTGTGAAAGATGGAAGCACTACAGAAGCATCTCCACATGACCAGTTGAATCCAACTTACTTTTCTCTCTCTCTGACAACAACATCCACTTTTTTTAAAATTAAATTCAAAGTAAAACAGTTTGTTGAATACCAACCAATGTGTCATGGGCGCTGGACCAGGGCTTCTCAAACTGGAAGCAAACTCCTGCTGGGCAGCCAAACAGTGATGAAAACTCAAATGAAAAAAATAAACTTGAATGAAGAATGGTAATTCTTAAATTGGCATTCATGTATTCTGAAATCATGCGGTGAGGCTAATGAAGCACACGCAACACATGCATAGTAATCTTTGAGCGTGGTCAAGTGTCTTTAGATAACTTATGAACAGTCACACACAAGTTCTATTTATATGCGGTGCTTTTTACATCGGGGACTTACTGTATGCTCACTGCAGGAGAATAAAGTGGAACAAAAAGTAATGATGTTGAGATGAAGTGACGTGTGAGAGTATTAGAATCCTCCAGCAGCCTGGGTCACAAGCTGCATTCACTGGTCACATTTTTATGATCTGTCTGGTAGCCACAAGCCTTCTGTAACTCTAACGAAATGGTTGGGATTTGTGGAAGATATACTTATTTGTTTCCTTGTGGACACTGAGATGAGAAGACTGATATGAAATGTGAGGCCACAGCCAGGAGATGGTTAGTCCGGCTCTGATTAAAGGTTAAAAACAATGCCTACATGCACGTGTAAAGCTCATTTTGTGCTTCCAAACAAAACCCCCTTTCGCACTGATGTTATACAGTTTAAGGCATTTCAGTCATTGAAATAGAATGAAGCATCACATGTCATCTTTATTTCATAATGATAATGTTGTTTTTCTTTGTTTTTATTAGCTTACTGCACTCTGCTGTTGTAGCTGATAAATACAAACTACTGATGGCATTGTTTTTAAAAGCACCATAACTCTACTGTTAATGCCTAAACCATCAAACAATGCTGCATAAAGTACATTGTAAAGTGTATTTAAAGTCCTGCTCGGTCAGTGATTGAACCCCTAAACTTTTATATTTGTGTATTAAAGTTACATATCTATTTTTTTCCTGCCTTAAAACAGCTGTGATGGATTTCTGTACCGTTCGCTGCCTCTAGAATGTGCAGATCCAAGAAGTCTCAGCCCTCCCTGCTCACTGCAGCTCGAGCACAGCAGCTCACCTACAACTCTGCAAACTACTCTCCACTATAAAGAGGCAAGTTGTAATATAGGGGTACATTTTTCCTACGCGTTTGAACCACAAACTAATTCTGAAGAAAAAAATTGAGACGGAAAGTGTCACCCTGCACACTGACAGGATTGATTACTTACTTTTGCTACATGTGAGAACCTGAAAGAATCAATGTTTTTCTTCAGTTTTAAGGGGAAAAGGCTTTCACTCGTGTTTGTTTTCCTCATAATATGTCTTCTAACATGTAAAAAAAAAAAACAAAAAACAGCATAAGGTCATGTTAGTACAATTGAAATAGATGCATTTTGGGTTGGGTTGCCCCATCAGCTGGTATGTATGTGTATGTATACATGATAGATGTGATGTATCTTCTACCGTTTTGAATGTTTTTGTGTCATACC